GGATGTCCCTTCCAGCACACACCTCTGGAATCCAGTCAGCCCATTGTTTATGTGCTGGCCTTCCAGGGGCAGTGAGGCATGATGTGATGCCCAGAAGTCCTCATGTGCAACTGCTGGAGGCCATGGTGAAGGATATAGAACCTCTGAGGGGGAAAAGTCTTTGCCTTGATTCCTTTTCCCGGTTCTCTGCATTCATTTCCCCTTCTGAAGAAGTAACTCTGACTGCTGTTATGGGAGAAGAGGTGATGTCCATTTTGGTTACTTTCTGGTCACCAAGAGAAGACAGGTTTACTTTACTCCTCTGAGGGTTGGCCTAGAAGCTTATGGTAGTAAGTCTGTATTTGAAGTTTTATTTTAATTTTTATAACCACAAGCCTCAGATCTCAGCCTTCTGAATAGCTAGTATTACAGGCATGAGACACCGGTGCCTGCTTTTCAATTACTTTTGAAAGGGCAAGCCTAAGTGACTGTAGTTGGAATCTGTCAAAAATCCCCTTTTATCTGTACAGGTTTTGTTTTCTTTGAACTGTCTCTGTATGATTGCACATTCCCAGGACAACTTTTGTCCTGGTAGGTTTCTCCTCATTATTAGGAAGATATGTTCCAGTTTGCTTTTTGTTTAACTTTTTAATTATTTTTGCTAGTCCTGGGGCTTGAACTCAGGGCCTGGGCGCTATCCTTGAGATCTTTTGCTCAAGGCTAGCACCCTTCCACTTGAGCTTCATTTCCAGCTCTTTTTGTGATTACTTGGTGATAAGAGTCTCATAGACTTTCCTGAACTGGCTGACTTCAAACCCCAGCCCTCAAATCTTAGACTCCTGAGGAGCTAGGATTACAATACAGATAAGAACCACTGGCTCTCAGTTTAACTTTTCAAGCACTTCTCTTAAAAATAGCTGGGTGCCGGTAGCTCAAGCCTATATAACCCTAGCTATTCAGGAGGCTGAGATTTGAGGATCACGGTTCAAAGCCAGCCCAGGCAGGAAAGTCCATGAGACTTATCTCCAGTTAACCACCAGAAAACCAGAAGTGGCGCTGTGGCTCAAGTGGTAGAGCGTTTGCCTTGAGCTGAAGAATGCAAGGACAACGCCCAAGCCCAGAGTTCAGCCCCACGACCGACAAACATACATACATATACATATACATATATATATATATAAATTGGATATATTTTTATTGTTTTTATTTTTTGTGAAATCTTTCTCATACCTTTCTAGATGTAACTTCCTTTATATTCCAAATTTACAAAATAGATGATTAAAACTCCTTATCTAGTAAGTCTAACTTTGTCTAAGAAGCAGGGAGAATTTGTTTATTACATTTATTTATTTATTTAGTCATGGGGCTTGAACTCTGGGCCTGGGCGCTGTCCCTCAGCTCTTCAGCTCAAGGCCAGTGCTCTACCCTACTTTTTTTCTTATGTATATAATTTTTTCTTTGTATGTCTTAGAGTTCTTTTGAGAAGTAGACATTTAAAATGCAGTAGCAGTTCAGTCACCTGTAATCCTAACTACTCAGAAGGCTGAGATCTGAGGATTGCAGTTCAAAGCCAGCCCAGGCAGGAAAGTCCCTATGACTCTTATCTCCAGTTAACCACCAGAAAACCAGACATGGTGCTGTGGCTCAAGTGGTAGAGTGCTCGCCTTGAGCCAAAAAGCTCAGAGACAGCGCCTAGGACCAGAGTTCAAGTCCCAAGACAGACAAGAAAGAAAGAGAGAAAGAGGGAAGGGGAGAGAGAGGGAGAGAAAGGAAAGAAAGGAAGGAAAGAAAGAAAAGCAAGCAAGCTGTGGCAACTCTGCCTGCAAGGGTTCATTGTTATTGTTGCTTGTTGTCATTGTTATTTGTTAAGTGGTTTTACAACTAACAACTGCACTCTGATGATTTGACAGATTTCTTTAAATGCCAGAATCTCATAGTGCCTTTCTAAGGGCCTCTTGTAACAGTTCTTGTTGGTCCAGAACTTCAGTGCTCAGCTAGGCAATTTACAACTCTGCCTTAGCTTTCATTTCTTGCTGTGCAAAGCCTCAAAGTCAACTGAAAGTGTGTGCTTAGGATCTTCTCAAGTCTTTCAGATAGCCCCCACATACCTATTTGGCTTTTTAGAAGCCCAGCTTCAAATATCCTATGACCATCTCATTCCTTAGCTTCCTTTTAAGCTTGGGAATTCATCCATTGTTTGCTACAACTGTTATGCATCACCTTTCAACCACTGGGACATTAAGCCCTTGCCTTTATACTTTGTCTTATAAATCCTCCCCAGGGAGAGACTTTTAGCACTAGGCTTTGGAAGAAATCTCTGGCTCCTTTCTACTCACTACATCACTGGGAGTGTAGGCTGTTATTTTTCAAGGCAGCCTCTAATCTGAGGAAAAGTGGATATGTCTACAGTGAATTAAAATGTTTCAGAGGTCAATGTTCTGAGATTCATTTGTTATTCTTGTGTAAATTCTCTCTACATTTTTGCAAGCCTTTCGTTAAGTGTACTGAAAAACTTACTGCACAAATTCTGCTAATTATCTCATTGTTTTTATTGAGAAATAAATTTTCTTTTTTTTATTGTGAAAATACCTTACAGAGGGGTTACAATTACATGGGCAAGATAACAAGTACATTTCTTCTCAAGCAATGTTGCCTCCTCCTTTGTTGAGAAATAAATTTTCAAAAGCCCTTTTGCCTTTTCACTATGGTCACCCGTTATGACATCTCCACCTCAGTAGTTTAATATGAATCTCTCAAAACTGGTATCTTCTTCTATAACCACAATACCATATATGACACCTGAACAATTTATTTTCTTAATATCATCTTATGCCAAATTGTTATTTAAATTTCTTCTAATAGTACCAGAAGCACCTGTTACAATTGGTTTATTCAAACCAGGATTCATTCAAGAAATACACATTACAATTGGCTGCTAAAATCTCTTGGTCTCACTCATTATTTAAAATTTTATTTTATGGAAATTTTTGTTTTTTTCCATACATGCATATAATGTACTTTCAACAAATTGATCCATTATTAAATATACATTAAAGTGAAACATCCATATTATCAATAACTGAATTCTTCTATTATAATTTTTGTCATCATTCATTCATCTATATCTGGGTATTTTCGTTTTTCCTGAGCCACTTCAAAGTAATATATAGCAATATCACAATATATTTTATCCACTTATACTTTATTATTTTTGAGGAATACCACACCTTCCTATTTGCCCACATTTTTAATACTTAACAAAGTTAATAATTCCCTTTAACAATTTCTAAGATGATGTTGTGGATTCTCTGTTATACCACATCAAGAGGCATATGATGTCATACTGTTTCAGTTATTAATGTCACTAAAGTTAGTACTTGAGTATATTACCTAAGGTGATGACAAGACTAGTATATATTCTGTGAAGTGATAACATTGGTACTATGTAATATCAATTCTCTAAAATCACTTGTTTCAGTAGGATTTGCAAACTAGATATTTTCTAGTTCAGTTATTCCTGCTACCTTTATTAGCTGGCATTCTGCAGTTAAAAACCCATTCCTAATGCTCTGAGGCTATATACTTCCTATTGAAAAGTAACTTTTTTGATTCAGTGTGAAGGGAATATAAAAGAGTTTATAAACAATGTGTGCTTTTGGTGTGTAGACAAAATGACACCCATTGATACAAATGAGATAAAGTTATATGTGCTATGTTTGAAACATAGAAGTTAATGGGACCAAAGACTTCCTGAATGCTTTACATAGGAAATTACTGTCAGGGTACTTTGGAAGGTTAGATAGATTTTGAATAGGTCGACAAAAGGGAAGAAGCATACTAAAGGCAGTGTTGATGAGGATGAAGACATAGGGAGACAGGATACTTGGGGAGTGTAATAAGGAAGCAGTCTGTTTAGAAGAACTGAAGATACGGTTTCTTAGTCTATTTTCTTCTACTATAACAATATCACACACTGGGTAAATTCTAAACAAGAATTTTATTTGCCTCATGGTTCTGGAAGCTGAGAAGTCCAGCTGCGGGATACTGGCACCTGGTAAACACTGCTCCATCACTCTATAAGCAGAAGGTACCATTTGATGAAAAAGAGGGAAAGAGGGGGGAAAAAAGCTAAAATCACCCTTCTGTAACTAACCACTCCCATGATACCAAGTTTTATCCATTGTTTGTTTGGGGGTTTTTGGTCCCAGTACTGGGGCTTGAACTTAAGGCCTCAGATTCACACTCGGCTTTTATGTTCAAGGCTGATGGTCTACCACTTCCAGCTTTTTGCTGGTTAGTTGGAGATAAGGATCTCACAGGCCTTTCTGCTCAGACTGGCATCCAAACCCTATCTAGCACTTAGCTGGTACCTCTTTAAAGGTTGTTCAAGTGACAAAGTTCCACTTGAGTTTGGAGGGACAGTGAAACCATAACAATGGGTGAGGAAAATAAAATTGGAAAGTTTGGCAAGGAGCAAAAAACATGAACAACTGTAATCACTTTACTCATTGTGTTTTGAGTATTTGTAAATTAGCTTCTTACCTCATGGGAAGCAGGAAGACTAATAATATACCTTGGCGGGGGTGTGCGCGGGAGACTGGCTTTGAGCTGGATGTTGGTGGTTCATGTCTGTGATCCTAGCTATTCAGTAAGCTGAGATCTGAGGATCCAGGTTCAAAGCCAGCCCATGCAGGAAAGTCTGTGAGACTCTTATAAATTACCAAAAAGGCCAGAAGTGGTCAAGTGGTAGAGTGCTAGTCTTAAGCAAAAAAAGCTCAGGGACAGCACCCATGCCCTAAGTTAAAGCCCAGGACTGGCACGAAAAATAAACATTGAAGAGACAAGGGGTGTTTCTCAAGTATTAAAATACTTGTTAGATTGCTTCATAGCAAGGACAGGCTTTGGTCCAATCCCCAGTATAGAAGGGGGAAAAAAAGATGATCTTTGGAGTAGCTAGAAAATATAATTGACATCCAGATAAATATCTTAGATAGTAACACCTTGTACCGTTTCCCTTTTAGCACGTGTGACCCCAACTCTACCCAAGCAGGACCGTCCTGTGCGTGAGGGGACCCGAGTTGCTTCTATTGAGACAGGTTTGGCTGCGGCAGCTGCAAAGCTGGCACAGCAGGTAAGTACTGACACATAGGCATGATCTTGCTACCAATCCCAGTTTCCCTTAGAGCCTCAAAGCTTAGATGTTCTGGCTAATAGGATCTCATCATTGTCTCAGGCGACCATTGATCTTTATCCTTGGCAGTATACCATCCCTTTCACATACTAGCTCTATGACAAGCTACTTCCAAAGGTTATACAGTTGACATGATTTAGAGTTACATTAGATACATGTCTCAAGTGGTAGAGTACCAGCCATGAGTAAGAAAGCCAAGAGAGAGCTCCAGGCCCTGAGTTAAGTATCCATACAGATACCAAAAAAAAAAAAATCAGAAAACCCACTGATAGGAAGGATTTGATCTGTCCTTTGCCCTCAGACAGTCCTGAGGAAATGGCTCTGTTAAGTACACTTAAGTTCTCAGCTACCACCTCGCTATGGTGGTGCCCACTACTAATCCCACCTACCTGGGAAGCAAAGATCAAGAGGATTGCAGTTCAAAGCCAGTCTGGACAAAAAGTTACTAAGGACCTCCCCCCATCTCAACAATAGCAATAACAACAACACAGTCTTAGCTATGTGAGAGGTGTAAGTTGTAAGATAATAGTCTAAGGCTAACCCTGGGCAAAAAAGTGTGAGTGTCTATTTATCTGGAAAATGCCTAAAGCAGAAAAAGAGCTGGAGGTGTGGCTGAAGTGACAGAACAACTATTTAGTTAATGTGAGGCCCTGAGTTCCAACCCCAATTATCCCAAAATAAAAATTATCAATCACCTATCATTATTGAAATTTGGTATAGTAGTAGATTTTTTCTTCTCCAATTTGTCTTTCTTAAGATAATGTTAGCCACTATTTTTTGTCCTAAAGAGTCACCTTTATTAGAATCAATTTCATATCTTTCATTACAAATTTGTTTAACACATATAATGTGCTCAGAAACACTACAAACATTTAGAGGTGAAACTGCTGGTTCTTTTCTTTGTTTTTTCTTTTTTCTTTTTTCTGTTTGTTGGTCATGGGGCTTTAACTCAGGGCCTGGGTCTATGGCTGAGCTTTTTTTGTTCAAGGCTAGCATTTTACCACTTTGAGGCATATCTCCACTTCCAATTGGTGTATGGTTAATTGGAGACAGGAGGGAAAAACTGGGAGAAGGTGACAGAAGGGAAAACATGGTTCAAAAAGAAATCTATATATTACTCATTAACTGATTCATTAACTGTAACTCCTCTGTATATCAACTCTACAATAACAAAAAAAGAGTTACATGGACTTTTCTGCCTAGGCTGGCTTTGAACTGTGATGCTCAGATCTCAGCCTCCTGAATAGCTCAGATTATAGTCATGAGCCACCAGCTCCCAGCTCTGCTGGTTCTTTTCTTCGTCAATGTCTCCTTAGCTTCTCATGCCACATCCTACAGCATAGAGCATTATTAGACATCTGTTTTATGTTAGACACTTGTATGTATACTGTTTAATATAATGTGGTCAGTGTACATGTTCAGTAGATAATTTCTTAATTATTTTAAAGGTGAAAAATATGAAACTCTAAGTGTATAATCCAGGATAAAATACCAGTAAATTAAGGAGAGAAGATTCAAACCCATATCCTTTAACTTCAAATTTCATACTTGATATTTAAATCAAATGGGATACTAAATGTATATATATTTTATATGATGGTCTGTGGAGCTAAAATTAAAAAGTTTCTTGAAAGCTGTTGTCAAGAACTAACAGAGATCAAACAGGCCAGTTGGTTTTTTGACTAGAACTTCTATTATGTATATCTTAATGTTACATATGCTGTAATTTGAAAAAATGAGTCATGCTGCTTTAAAATAAACAGATAAATTAATTAGAGTTGAGAAAATGGCACTTAGGGCCATCTAAGGAATAACTTCAATTTGGGTTGATCACAGTGTACTTCAAAGAAGAGGTTTTGGCAGCAAGATTTTGATAGTGTTGCTGAGAGAAGACAAAGAAATGTAATCACTGATTTGGTCTGTCTGGTTATGTAGCATTTAAAAGCTTGAGTTCATTCACAGGTTCTCACCACCATTTTTCCAGGTTCTCAGGGTTCCAAATGTCCATTATATAAGGATCAACTATGCCATGGATAGTCAATCCATACATTAATGGATAGATGAAATCCAAGATTGGGGGAGAAGTGACATAACTCTGTCTTTCCAAAATTGATGTTTTAAGACCCAGTGGCATAAAAGATTTTTCATGTCCTCTGTTAGAAGAAAAAGACCAGCAAGAAGAAAAGACATTGTAAAAATATGGGATAATTTACCAATTAAGTTACTACCATAGGCTATGACAATAGCAGGTATTAATTTACCCTTTTTACAGATCAGGTAACTGAGATTCAGAAAGATTAGGATCTTTGACTAAGTCATCTAATTTTGGAGTACAGCCCTGGATTTGAGCTCAGGTTTCTCTCATTTCAAAGCTAACAATCTTTCTACTCAAATTTGAAAAAAAAATTCAGGGTATGTTTTCAAATAGACCTGGTTAAGAACTGGATCTGACAATTTTCAACTCAGAGGCTTTGTTGTCAAGTTACATAATATTCCTGCAACTCAGTTTTTTAATCTGTAAATGATGGTTTTTCTTCTTTTGGGATGTTATAACAAGTAAGATAAAGTAAAGTACATCAGCCATTGGTGTAAATTTGGTTTTAGTACTATCAAAAAGTCTATGATCTACCTCAGTGATAATGCTAGGACTAAAAGCCAAATCTCCAAATTCATTTGCAGTACTTTTGCCACTGTACTGTTTAAGTGGCAGTGCTGCCTTAAGGGTAGGTGGTATCAAAGAAATGACCTCAAGTGAAAGATGATGTTGTGTTTAGCAGGTTAGACTTGGATAGGGTAGGGAAAAGGCAGATTTCAAAATTACATTGGTAATTGTCTTACTGCTTTTTTGGGAAATTAGCTATTCTCTACTTCTGATCTCTTTTCCCACTTGGCTGTGTTTCAGGAGCTTCAGAAGGCCCAAAAGAAGAAATATATCAAGAAGAAGCCTTTGCTGAAAGAGCCAGTACAGCCTCGCCCTCAAGACACCAATGTTAATGTGACAGTACCGGCCCCAACACTGGCTTCTACACCCCAGGAGCTCACATCCTCCTCACCCTTGCCTCCTGAGCCGAAGCAAGAAGCTCTGTCTGGAAGTCTTGCTGACCATGAGTATACTGCTCGTCCTAATGCCTTTGGAATGGCCCAGGCAAACCGCAGCACCACACCCATGGCCCCCGGTGTCTTCTTGACCCAACGGCGTCCTTCAGTTGGTTCCCAGAGCAATCAAACCGGACAAGGTACATGGGCCATATAGTGGTAGAAACAAGGGAAGCTTAGGGCCACCTTCTCCAAACCCTATGTGCTCTAACAGATGAGAACACCAAGGAGAAAGACACTGAAGGCCAAATTAAGATGATTGGATATGAGCTCATGGGACTTAGAGAGATCGACTGCTATTTAAGTAGAGTTTTATTAGATTTAGGTTCTTTTGGTGGTTAGAATGGAGGGTGGTCTAGAATTGGGAAATAGCTTGGAAGGAAGCATATACAAAGATTTAGGCAGGAATAAAGAGAAGCTGGAGCTCTGACTAAAGGAAGGAATAAACTGAATATAGTAATAATTAGGACACAGAAGGTGCATTGATGTGGGGAGAGAAAGAGACAATAGAGGTAAGATTCAAGTTCCCCTTTTCCCCCACATTGGCCCTCAAAACCTAGCCCCTAGAGTATACAGCTCAAGGACACTTAGGTGGGTGTGATGGTAAGGATTAACAAGAATGTGGGCTTTAATGAAACAAGCCTCTAAGTATGGAAACATCAGGAACACTGGGTTGTATACGTTAACCAGGCAATTATTCAACCCTGATGAGCTGGATAAAAGGACCTGGAAGCACATTCATGTTCCGGAAGAAATTTAGAAGGAAAAAGATTGGAACCAAAGAAAGAAAGCAGTGGGGGAGACAAACTATAACCAGGGAGTTTATAGCTGCTTCACCAGGTCAGAGGAGAAAAAGCCAAGATATATGGTATTGGATAGATGTAGTTAAGGAGGGCTTCTTGTCCAGTATGGCCCAAGGATGAAGAAACTTTGTGGAGAGAGAAACAGGAGGGGAAGTGACCTAAGGACAGTTGTTGCTGCAGAGTTGCCAGTAAAGCCTTTTCCATACCCTTTGCTTACTTTCCCCTTCCCTCACAGGAAAGCGTCCCAAAAAAGGCCTGGCCACAGCAAAGCAGAGACTCGGCCGTATCCTGAAAATCCACAGAAATGGCAAACTACTTCTGTGAACTGATCCCCTTTGTGCCCCACCCTTCACCCCCATTGCCTTCTCCGTTGTTAACTATTGGGGCACTCCTGGATCCTGTCTGCCCCGGACAAGGTGCTGAGGTGCACTGTCCTGCTTTCTTGGGACTGACCAAAGGCACGGACTTTCCCACAGACCCCTTTGATGACTCCTTTCGGCTACCTTTCCACTTTCACTATGACTATCCTGTTTTCCTTTTCCATTCTCCCAAGTAGCAGGTAAATGGAAAAGGTTTCCAACTGACTAGAATCCATTTTTCTGCTTTTCTAACCTCCTCCCCTTTCATTTGTGTTGTGCTTTATACTTGTGTCTCTCCCACCCAACCCCCAGGTATAGAGGGCAGAATGAGAGAGGCAGGAAGAGAGCCTGGGCACCTCAATATGTGTGGCCTTGAAATGGGAAGCCCAGTACTCAAGATTGTCTACAACTCTAGCCTTTCTCTAGAAGCCTGTCCATTTGTACCTATACTTCCCTCCCTTTCTTCCCCTAAATCCAGTAGATATGCCCCACCTTCAGGCTTGGTCCTAGAAGAAGGCTGTGTTCATTGCCCCCTCTTGCCAAATAATTTATGGATAAAAAGAATGGGGCCCAAATCTCCTTGCTGCCCCACTGTGGCCTTTCTAGATGGACTAGAAAGGATGACCTCACTTATCCTTGAGAAGAAAAGAAAATTCTGTTATTCTTCAAAATGGGGAGAGAACAGACCCAGGCCCTTATAGGCCTTTGACTATAACAGGATCCAGCAGAAGGAGGCTGTTTTTGACTGGCTATATATGAAGCATTTTTTCCATAGTGATCTCTGGGGATTTGATTGGATCTGGAGGTCCTGTGGAACATGAGTATGCATGGCTGTGGATAGGCCCCGGCAGATAGAAAACTGTGTCCCAGAAACTTGAAATCACCTATCATTGAAGCTGATAACAGTGGCCCTATAGCCTACTTTCTCCATCTACCTATACCACAGAACACAGCCTGGACATTTCAGAGAGGGTATGGTGAGACAGCCACCTCTGGGTTCTTCATTGGGAGCCTCCATGCTTCTTTTCCTACCTGAGGTCTTAGTCTGAAGAAGACCTCAGAACTTCACCTCTGGGCCTTTGCACCTCTGGACCACAGGTCAACATTCAAGCAGAGTGAAGATGGCCCATGTCTAGAAGAAGAGATGCACATTTGGGAAGGAGCAGACCATCTGACCCGCCCTTCTCCATTCTTCTTTTGTGATTGCCTCCATTGTCCAGATAGTGCCCCCACCTCCTTCTTGTCTTGCCTCACTGGCAATCCAGACTTGGAGAATGCCTCCTCCCTTACTCCATTTTGGCACTACCCAAGTGGAATGTATCTTTGTCCTCTAACTTCCACGCTAACCTCATCCCAGCTTGCTTGATATTTTGGGGGGAATTTAACAGCTACCATGCAGGCCACAGGGAATTTGTGAGGCTTCCTCTGTCTTCATTGTGTCTAGTTTGTCTTTCCTTTGCCTATAGACCGACCTTTACTGTCCTTCCTTGGAATCAGGGGTCCCTTAGTCCATTTGCTTTCCTATCTTGGGGACCCCAGGGGCCAAGCAGTCATCTGTTTAGTCACACCAAAGGCAAAAAGCCTAGCTACCTCCCCCTCCTCCTCCCACCCCCAGCCTAGCATTGAGGTCCCTATTCCCAGTCCCTCTTTTCTACCCAGCTCTACTTATCTTGGGGATTTCAAGGCAGCAAGGGGTTGTAAGGGGAAGGGCTGAAGAAGCCTCTGTCCTTGTGTGGGCAAATGCCTGACTAGACACTGACTGCTGTCACCAAGACCAGGTGCCCAGACCTTTTGTCCATTAACACCCCTTCTTGATCTTTCAAGGCAGCTAATTGCTAGCAAATCCCCCTGGTTCCTAACCTCTTTCCTCTATTTCTTTGTTAGAACTTTCTATGGAACTGAACCCAGCCTCTATTTGATTGGGTTCATTTAGTTTAGTTGGGTTCCTGGAGCCTCCTGTCTGTTGTTTTGTGTTATTTCCAATGAAAAGCAAGTTTACCTTCAGAGTTATGCTTTTCCAAAGAGGCTAGTATGTTTTGTTATTTTGTTTTTGTTCTTTTAATGTTTCAGGTTCTAAGTGAAGTGAGTTGGGGAGGGGTTAGGAGTGGTAGCAACCAAGGTTTAGGACATGGTGAGATAGTTACCTCTGATCTCCAATCCCCAGCAAGAGCTGGGGGTGGGATAGGGGCAGGGAGAGAGGATTTCTATTCACCTTTAATATATTTTTACAAAAAAGCAAACAATTTAAAAACAAACCCACCGCTTCTGTACATGTTTAAATATATTTTTAGAAGTGGGTAGGATTGTGAATTTCTGATGCAGGGCCTTTTTATAAATAGGTTAGAGTAACATCATCTGGATTTCTCTTGTTTTTTGCCCTTGTTTTTCTTATGTTGTGTTACTAATGTAATTTATATTTTTTTTAGATCCTCCCTTTCCTATAGAGATAAAAGTGATTTATCTTGGCAATTGCTTTGCTTGGCATTCTTTTTGTGGCAGTGGCTGTGGTGGTGGTGAAGGTGGTGGTGGTGAAGGTTGTGCAAGTGTATGGGGTTCAAGGAAATAAGAGTTTCTCTTTGTGTTTCCCTCAGCTAATTATCAGTGGACGTTTACCAACCTTATACCTTATCAGAGGACTGATAATCTGCCTTTTAGGAAGAACACAATTCTCATTTCACACATCTGAACTTAGGTAATCATAAGTACAGTGAGCAGAAAAGGTTATAGCAATTCTAGGGGGCCTGAAAAGTTCAATGAAAAGGCTTTTAATAGCTTCCATTGGACTTTTTTTTTTGCTTTGTTCTTACTGGTTCTGGGGCTTCAACTCGGACTGGGTGCTGTCTCTGAGCTCCGTTTGAGCAAGGCTAGCACTCTGCCACTTTGAGCCACTTCTGGTTTTAATTTTCATCAGTTGGAGATAAGAGTCTCATGGACTTTCCTGCCGGGGCAGGCTTTGAACAGCAGTCCTTAGATCTCAGCCTTCTGAGCAGCTAGGATTATAGGCGTGAACCACCAGTGTCTGGCTCATTGGGCTGTTTTTACTGGCTACACCTGCAACGACTTTTCTGTGAATAGAATTTTTTTCTCCTTTCCCTTTTTCCTTTGGTGCCAGTCCTGGTACAAGTTTCTTAGACTTTTCCTGCCCCAGCTAACTTCAAACCATAATCCTCAGATCTCAGCCTCCTGAGTAACTAGGATTACAGGCATGAGCCACCTGTACCCAGCTCCATTCTCTTTACTACTTCCTCCATATGGTAAAGCTAATGCAAGGGAAATAATATAATTATGAAAACTAACAACAGAACAACAGACTCGTTTCCTTGTGCCAGGCACTACTATTCATGGGCCAACATCCTCATCCTACCAGTGAGGAAAGTTCTGGGACAAGCCCAATTCTAGAATCTCTATATGTGTGCATGTGCAGGAACATGTGTGCGTGTATTCCAGTATTGGGACTTGAACTCAGGGCCTGGGCACTGTTTCTTGGCTTTTTTCACTCAAGGCTAGCACTGTACCACTTGAGCCTTACCTCCACTTCCAGCTTCTTGATGGTTAATTAAAGATAAGATACTCAGGGACTTTTCCTGCTTGTGGTGACTTTTCAACCACCACCCTCAGATGTCAGCCTCCTGAGTTAGGATTATAGTGATGAGCCACTGGTGCCCAGCCCTGGAATCTGTATTCTTACTCTGTTCTGCCACCTCTCACTGATAACTATGGCCATTTATTAAGTGCTAGGCATTAGGGCAGTGATTTTAACTAGGATACTATCAATGGCATTCCAGTGAGGTAATTTGCCCAATTTTTTAGTTGAGACTGAAGCTTTTCATGGTCTTCCACAATAGGATCTAATATCAAACACATGCTTTTTTTCCCTTCATTGTGTTAGAAATTCATTTGAGGCTTAATCACCAAACGGAATTATTGAGCCTCTGTGCAAGGTACAGCATTGAGAGCTGTGTCCTGGAGTGTTGCCAAGGTAATGTTCAGAATCTCAGTTTCAAATTTCCTGCCACCCTGACTGGTCTAGGACACACTTCTTATTGTAGGTTACCTACAACAGTTTAAAACCTGTCAATATTATCATTGTAGAGATTCTGCTTCTATAGGTCTGGGATGAAGCTGTTTGGATTTGGCACCTTCTAGCTAAATGGCCTTTAATTCTCTCAATCTGACTCAAGTTTGGATAAAGAAAGTTTCTTTCTGGCCTACAGTGTACTATGTTCTTGTGGATAGGCAAAAGGAGAAAGAATTTCACAGTCTTTGCAGAATAGTGCCTGGTGTTTTTGTACCAACTTCCACCCTCATCTGTGAAAGGAATAAAGAACTGTCACCAGGGCTGGGAAGATGACTCAGTGGTAGAGCGCTTGCCTTGCATGCATGAGGCCCTGGGTTCCATTCCTCAGCACCACATAAGCAGGGGGAAAAAGCCGGAAGTGGTGCTGTGGCTCAAGTTGTAGAGTGCTAACCTTGAGCTGAAGAGCTGAGGGACAGTGCCCAGGCCCAGAGTTCAGGCCCACAACTGGACCCAAAAAAAAAAAAAAAGAACTGTCACCAGCCTCAATTCAGGATTAACTATAGAGTTTGATCACCTTACTCCTCAGTATAGGCAGAGGGTACCATCAAATCAGTGGCTCTGTCTAAAATTTGGGAAGTAAACAAGGCCTTATATACCTATATTTCCAGAACAGAGTAAAGGCAATGTCAAGGTCTTGTTGCTTTAATAGTCCTCTTTTTCGGTGACTAACCAAGTAATTTGTTGGAGTTTTATAGTCTATTTTATGTTAATAACAAACTTGATCATAGTATATAATTTATAAAGAAAGGTTCATTTTGGCTTATAATTTTAGAGGCTGGGAAACTCAAGATCACATGGCCAGGACCACATGCTGGTTGACCTCATGGCAGAAAAGAGAAGAAAACCAGAAAATAAAAGATGATGGATGAAAGAGTGAGAGGCGGTGCCATGCTTGCTTTATAATCTCAGTAGAGAACTAGATCACTTTCTAGAACTAACACTCAGTTTCTCAAGAATGACTCCCACCCCCCAAAAACCACCACATTGACAACCAAGTCTCAACATGAATTGGCCGGGAACAAACCACATTCAAACTATAGCAGGGAGAATGCATGTCTTGGTCACAGTTTCTACATTTGCCAAATGGAATTATGAATCCCTCTACAAGATTGACTGTCCCTAAATATTCTGGATGGTGTTAATTCCAATCTGAATCCTCTTTCCCTACCTTTTTCTGAGAACGAATCCCAATTTCTACTTGTTCATATAGTGTCCTGCCTCAGCTACACAGACCTCTACACCAGGACCCTGTTTATACCAAGTTGACTTGAATTGGCACTTGACCTCCAGCAAGTTAAGAGCACCATATAGTACAATACAGTGATGTGGCTGAATATGAGATACTGTACAGGAAATTTATCCTAAGGATGAAGAGAGAAAATTCCTGTCAGGTGAACAGAAGAGTTGCCAGTCAGTGTTGGGCACTGGTGGCTTATGTGTGTGTGTAATCCTAGCTACTCATGAGTTTGAAGTCTTGAGTAGCATGGTTCAAAGTCAGCACAAGCAGGAAGCTTCTTGTGGGACTCATTTCTAATTAACAACCAAAAATTCACAAGTGGAGCTGTGGCTCAAGTGGTAGAGTGTCAGCCTTGAGCTAAAAGCCCAAGTGAGTACATGAGGCCCTGAGATCAAGCCACAGTTTCAGCACCAAAAAAAAAAAAGTCAGGCAAAAAACAGTGGGAATATTATTCCAAGTCAAGTCACTATTATGAATAAAAAACAGGTGGGGATAAAGTGTGTAGGTAGAGATGGTAAGGCAATTGACTAAAACTGCAGCTGTGGCTTTCATGGCAGGGAGGAATAACCAAGTCTCTCCAAGAGAGAATGTATAGTTTTAGAACACATGATCATTATTAGCTTTAAAGCATAATAATTTAAAGCCCTAGATTATGGAGGATAAGTAATTTGACATTTGTCGAAAGACCTAATTATCTTATGAACAACAACCATTAAAAGATTTTAAACTGGGCTGGGAATGTGGCTTAGTGGCAGAGTGCTTGTGTAGCATGCATGAAGCCCTGGGTTCAATTGCTCAGTACCACATAAACAGAAAAAGAAGTGGCACTGTGACTCAAGTGGTAGAGTGCCACCTTGAGCACAGAGAGGCTCAGAAACAGTGCTCAAGCCCTGAGTTCAAGTTTAAAAAAGATTTTAAACTGAATGACATGATCCAACTTGCTTGTAAGAAGAATACCTTCAGGAGTAACATAGGATGACAAAGTTGAGAAGCCAGTGAGGAAGTTACTGCAGGAGAGATTAGGAGGGTACCATCTTTAAGCTATTCCTGGATGTCTAAATCCCATTAAATATGTAAATACCAGACCATTTCCAAGAGGCAGAATCATGGAGTTAGCCACTCACACAAAAGACACTTCTCAGCTTTTTAAACTCAAAATAATTAAACATTTAAGCCCCTTTATATGCCAGTAATTACCCCTAAGTGTGATAAAAGATAACAATACTCATTTTACAATTTTCTTATTGGGTCCAGCAACCTCCATATCCCATTCCATTGTCATTTATACCCTTCCAGGAGCACCTCCTCAAAACTCTATTTTCAAATCTTCCCTTTCTGCTTAAGAACATTCCATTCTGTCTCCATTCCAACTTACTGTACTTTACAGATCTCAAGGCATCCCATCATCTGTCCCAATGTGGAGACCATGGATTGTGATGGAAAGGAAGTCACTTGTGATTTGGTTCCAGTTTTGCCATCTGTGATCTTGAGCTGGTGGCTTATTTCCTTGTTTGAGTTTCATTGTGTAAAATAACAATATAATGACAACCTCCTAGGGTTATTGAAAGGAACTATAGTACTTAGTGTCTTTAAAGAACTTAATTCAACTGGGTGCTGGTGGCTCACTCCTGTAATGGTAGCTACTCAGAAGGCTGAGGTTGCAAGGATCACTGTTTTAAACCAGCCCGGGCAATAAACTCCATGAGACTCTTACCTCCAATTAACCATCAAGAAGCCAGAAGTGGGAATGTAGCTCAAGTGGTAGAGTATGAGCCTTGACTAAAAAAAACTAAAGGACAGTGCCCAGGCCCTGGGTTCAAGCTCCAAGACCGGCACATGTGTGTGCACACATGTGTGTTAATTCAGTGTCACTCAGGTGATCGGTCAATGTAGTCTAATTTTTCTAAGAAAAATTTGTGAGGGCCTATAAATATTTTCAAAAAGTACAAAGTAAAGCTTAAGGAATTGAAATTCTTTCAAATGGACAATAAATTAAATTTATGAGGAAGATGGCATTTGAAGCAGATAGGTAAGTGGCTAGGTCAATGTGGGTTGTGACCCTTATAGTATATAGCAGATCAACCAATGACAAAGTTGTTGGAAGGTGCCAGAGTATAATCCATGCTGAGTCAATAATAATGGCTCACT